CTTACCTATAAAACCGTTGTTCTCACCCCCGGTGATTTTGTCTCTTCAGGGGGGCATTTGGCAATGTGTTGGGATGTTTTGCTTGTCAAGCTGTGGAACGGGTGTTGCTGGCATCTCATGGGTAGAGCCCCGGGGATTCTGCTAGTATTTTCTACCGCATAGGACGGGAGTCTCTTTCCCAACAGCAAGAGATTATTCAGGACAAAATGTCAGTCAGCAGTGCTGGGGTGAAGAAACCCTTTTGTAAAATCTGGATCAAGACTTTTAGGACAGGTAGGGACTCTACAGCTGCCTCTCCATTTGCTCTGCTCCTGATTTGTAATTCATAAAAGAGAGATGTACCAGGGTTTTACAGCAATGAATTCTATTTCAGTGGAGAAAGCTTATCTGAGTTTCCATGGCATTTTTCCCTCCCGTAAACAGGAATTATTTTATCCAAGCAAAAACAAAGGGCAGAGGTTCCGTGGTTTAGTTGAGATGGGGGTGTGTGTGTCCCTGTGCTCTGCCCATTTGGCAAACTTTCCATTCTCTTGGAGCTCAGAGAGAAATCCTTTGGGTGTGACAACCAGTTTGGTGATCCACAGAAGGAACACCCTTTAAGGAGGGCTAGGAAGCCCAAGAGTGGAGTAGGAAGCCCAGGAGGCAAAGCTGTGACTGGCTAGGGACTGAGGTGGATGCACGCATATATGTACACATATGTGTACATGTGTATAGTATGCGCACACACATGCACGATATGTTGAATGCCTTTGATGGTCATGTCTGATAGGTTAAACCAAGATGACATTTTGACTGGAAGATACTGTACTGGGATCTCCCACTAGGCCAAGGTCAGCACAGCCTTTCTGCCTAACGTTCAAGCTAATCCCCCTTTCTTTTTTGTCTCTGTAGATTCCTTTAGTCTTCTCTCCTCAGCTTTGCTACAGGGCTTGGAGCAGATTTGGACAAAGCTCAGCTACACAAATTGATCCATCATATGACTGGCCATTGTGTCTTCTCGTGCACCTGCCCCTCCACCCCACACCATGTCCTTGGCCCTATTGTCTTTCCTCCCCCGAAGCCCTCTCCAGCCTACTGAGCTGAATGAAGGTGGTTCCCAGCCTTCATTTACACGCCTGTTTTTGTCACGGGGTTCTTAAAAGCCTTGGATCTCCCCTGGAAAATATAAATTGATATTATATATAAAAATGTCCTCAACTTCCGGGGTTTCTGGTTCACGGACCCCAGTTTAGAGCCCTTCACCAGAGAAAAGCAGAGTATGGCTGGTCACAGTGGATGGATGTTGGAAGAGACCTAGAGATGATCTTCTTTTACATATGGGGAAATGCAAAACCCCAAAAGGTAAAGTAGAGTGATACTGCTTGGGAGTAGCCTAATCCAGGAGGATTGCACATCTCCAAATTCCGGGTTCTCCCTCCGGTATGGCCAATAAATGGAACTTAGTCACCTTCCCCCGCAAAAAATTATAAGCTCATCCTTCCCATTCCAACCTCCACCTGTCAGTCTACCTGTTTCCAAATTGGCAAGAGGTTTTTCCAGATTAACTGGTAGCTAATGTGGGTAGGAGGTGAGAAGGATAGACCTGATGTTTTTTCCAAAGTCACTTCAGGAAAATGTGTGGGGTTGACTTCACTTTGGAATTTTAGAACATTATCATTGTTACTTTTCGTTAACTTGCAAGTAGCTGGTATAAATATAGGTGAGGAAGAGTAACAGGAAGAGAAGGGAGGCCCCCAGGAAGTAGTAGGAGTTTTGTCCTTGGAGCTCTGCTGCCATATTGCTGCATGACTAACATGACTAAGACAAGGCCTGGGCTTAGAGCCTCGCCTGTACGATGTGCATATTCCAGAAGGTTTTCTCTAGATCATTTTCCAGCTATGAGATGCCATAGTTTCATGGTGAATGTTCAGACCTGCGATAGAAAGAATATCTTAATTTCCAGGATGACAGTATAGCTAGTGGCTAAGAATGTGGACCCCAACACCGGGGTTAAGCCCAGCACTGTGATGCTATCTGCAGCCTCTGCAGCATGAATTCGATTCCTGGCCAGCCAGGAAGCTACCCACATGGCGCAGCAGACCTCTCTTGACTTGCCCTCTGCTCTCCTCAGCAGTGTAGTTCAGGAGAACCACCTGTTCTATTTCCCACTCTGTCTCTGGTGAATCCTCTCACCTCCTGCACTTCTGGCCTGTACCCTAGTTCTTGTATGCATAAATAAATAAAAATAAATCTTAAAAAATTAATTTTTAGTCTAGCCACACCACTTGTACTTATACATGCAAGTGGATATTTCCATGACCAATGTTAAAGGACAGTGAATAGCAGCGGCCATCTCGGAGGGGACAGGGACTCTGCCCAGTTCCCCCTCAGACTGTTGTCATGTGCCATTTATACAACATTTATGCCATTTATGTTTTCTCATAAATTGAAGAACTTGAAGTATTTCTTATATCCATGTCTCTGTCAACTGGGAAAATAAAGGATTTTTCCTTTACTTTTTTAGAGGATCACATGTTTAAAATTTAGAAATTAGAACAGAAGTTTCAAAAAAGGGAGTCATAGTTTCTCTGTGGAAGGGAAAATGACATTTATATTTGATATATGCAGCATTGCTTTGTTCAGAGAGTATAACCTAGAATGCTATGTGAAACAAATTAATGCCTTGGGTGGCTGCATTCATTGTCTCCTTGGCTCCTATCAACGTTTAATTTGAACTATTAATGTGGTTCTTATATGCTAGTTTAATTCAGTTTGTGAGAATAGAATCTATACAACTATTATGAAAGGGTCTTCTGTGACTACCTGACATACATCACTGGGTAGCAGATACTCTAAGTTCCTAATAAAGTTTCACTATTAATAACTAGAAAATTTTACAATCTAGGGTTTTACTTTTTAGAAACTTGCAACCTTTAAGCTGAAGGGAAAGTAACACCTTCGTTGAGGTTTTCAATGATAACAATATTATGTATGTCTGTAATTGTTATTTTAAATATTTATGCATATAAGAGCTGGGGTGTAGGCTAGAGGTGTTGGGGGGTGAGAGGATTCACCAGAGACAGAGCGGGGAACAGAACAGGCAGACTGACTGATATATACTGCTGAGGGGAGCAGCGGGGGGTCAGCATCCTGGCAGGGATTGAACTCTCGTGCTGCAGTGGCTGAGACTTAACCCCTTGCACCACCAGGGAGGCCCTATGTCTGTAATTATTTTAAGTGAGAGTTGTTTAAGACCACAGAGCCAAAGAAAGTAGGTGGGAAATAGAGCTGTATTTTGTCTTTAACTGGTAGCTCTCCAGGAGAGAGAGAGTCTTTCTCCGGGTGAACAGGTCTGGAGAAAGGCCCTAGCAGAACAGGAGAATGTTGGAGTAATAGGGTCCCAAAGGCTGTTTGGGAGCCCAATTTAAATCCTAGCGTAATGGTTGATACTCATCAGACCATGTTTGTGTGCTGTTGTTTCCAGAATTACCCATTGAATGTCAGTAAAACACTGGTCAGGGAGCTTCCAAATGCTGAGCATTTACTTTTTCTCTCCCTCAAGTACTGCTTGCAAGTAGAGTCATCCTCTCTTGGGCAGATCAGGATCGCAAATTATTTTATGTGATCTTGTTCCATCTTTTTAGATCCTTTTTGATGACTGAAGCAAACACCCTCTGAAAAGAGAACCATATGATTAGCTTATATTTCACTTACTGAGAATCTCCATTTTCCTTCTGCTTGCCTTTTTTCTTTTGACATCCATTCCTGCTTGAAAACATTGAAAATGGCAGCCATCCCCTCTTTAGAGAAGAGAGTCTTGGTTTAATTTTCCAGATTGGTTATTTCTATTTATGTCTCTTGGGCCCTGGGCGGATTGATCACGCAGGGCTTTGTCATATTGCCTACTTCTTTGAATCAAATGTGGACATAGCAACTAAAAATAAACATGCTGTGGATATTAGAGAACTAGAAGCCTTCTCTGCTTGGGGAGCTGGATACATGCTCGCTGTTGCTGAGATGTTAGCTGGCTGTAGCACTGCATTAATCACTGCAAGTACAGCTGTGTTTTTGGACTAGAGAACTGATGGCAACGCAAAGGCACACGGAAGAGTATTATCCTGAACAATGGATGCAGATGCAAATCATTATGCTTAATCCATAATATTATCCCCGTTTTTAGAGTTCTTTGTACTGTGTGATTTGGTATGCTAGAAACTAGAAGTATGCCAAAGCATCGTTTGTTTTCAGAATATTTTTTCAGAGATTTGAAAGAGAAGTAAATGTACCAGACTGTTGCACTTTAGCTCTGCAGCACTGGGAGTGCGGCTAATGGTTTTGACAGTAGTATCTGACAGAACGTTGGACTGATTGCTTTTCCTTATTCTGTTATTCCATTATGAAAAGACAACTGGCGTTTGAGTGTGAAAATTCCTTAAGGAATTACATCAGGTAAGAAACTTCTCCCCAGTAAGTTTGCCCTTGGAATGAGGGGCCTTTTGTGGAGGGGAGCTCTGCACAATGGTTAAGAGCCAGCTCTGCTACAGATGAGCTTTGGGATCTTGGGGACATTACTTGGGTGTTCCACATCTGTAGCAGAAAGGCTAATGAGTCTTAGTGGTGAGGATTACATGAGTTAATATTTGCAGATCTAAATACAGTGTCTGATACAATAAGCACCATGTAAGTTTTGCCTACTACCCTTTGTCACTTGTTGTTGTATTCATATGGTGTCACGTCCTTTTTCTCAGTGCTGTGTGGGAGGCTGAAGTGGGAGACCAATCCAAAGCTGGAGTTTGTTCTGCGATGGTTCGGCCACATTTAACAATGTTAAACCAAACACCTTGGTAAAACCATAGCAGGGCAGTAGAATGAGAGTCCTCATTGTGTCAAAAGAAAAACAATCTATATTTAGTGCTCTGGAATTTTTCCTCAGAAATGATTCATCTTTTGACCACCGAGTTCCCCTTTTTGCAGTTTTAAAATAAAGTCTCACTTGAGCGTCTCTGATTTTTGTCCTCAAGAATTGCCGCTGCCTCGCTTTATGATGTCGAAGAATGATGGTGACATACGCCTTGGGACCCCAGCTGAGCTGCATGGAAGTAAGGTTCAGATTCCATACTTAGCCACAGAAAAAAATACCTTCAAGAGAATGGACGATGAGGATAAACAGGTACAGTCTGATCAGGTGTGTCCATTTGATTCTGACCGGGAAACCTCATGTAACACATCCTTCTATCTGCTGCCAAGCTTCCAGCAAATCTCGCCATCTGGAGTCCAGTTACAGACTTCGGAGTGAGCCAGTAAACGCTTTCTTTTCCACATAGGAATTACCAGGAGCCCCCCATCGGACCTTTAGCCTCTGCTTTAAAGTAAACTTGTGTGTGGAGCAAGGCCACTAAAGTAGCACATTTCTGTGATTCCTGTAATTTCCAAATGGGTTCCCTGAAATGTAACTTCTAGGAGTTTTCAAGATGTCCTTTCCTCCAAAAAGAAGTCTGGAGAAAAGGTTTCTCTGGTTAAATATGTTTGGAGAATGTGGCTTCATACCTTCTTCTTGGGGGAAGGACTCAGTCCTCAGCCTTGGAAGCTCACAGTACACATTAGCATGTTCACGGCCCTGCCGAGTCCTGCAGAGAGGCCTGGAGACCTGTCTCCATGTAACTTCTGTCCCAAGGACTCCTTTCTTGGAGAGCATGTTTGGAATGCCATCCTGGGAAATGCTGCCATTACACATTTAATAGGTTAGGAACAAGAATAGGGAGAATGGCCTTTTAAAAATTAGATCACTAATTGCAAGTCAGGTGGTGGTTGGTTTAAAAAAAAAAAAAAGTATGAAATTCCAGAAGTGAAGGTAGCTGGTGTTAGCATTGGTAAACTTGAGGGTGTCATCCTTCTAATAAAGATCCTGAATCATGTGGAGAAGGCAAGTTATTGTCAATATAGTTTGTTTTATAAGGCAAAGAAATGTGTATTTTCAGAAGACTTGAATCAAATGTTCTACAATGCAATGACTATTAAAAGATGAAGTTGGAAAATGACACAGCTCACTCTGATAGTGCTGGCTAGTGGCTGAGTTGTTGCTGCAAAAGACCCACGTTTATAGTGAAGTGGGGTATAGCATGTCCTCTCGGGCCTTTGCACGTCCTGTTGCTTTCATAATTCTGCTGCATTTTAGACTCATTCTTCAGGGGAAGAAAGGAATATAGGCAACAGCATAAATGGGTCTGGAAGGTATTATGCCAAGTGCAATAAACCAGGAAGAGAAACACCCACCCCCTATGATTTCCCTCCTATGTTGGAGAGAAAGAAACAAAACAAATGAACAGAGAACAAGTTAAAACAAGCACTTAGATTTTTAAGGAAAATGATGAGCAGAAGAGAAGGGGGAAGAGGGTGGGTGGGTCTGTCAGGTTAGAGGGGTCTGATGCTTGGTAATGGATGGGGACTGGTCCTGGGGGGTGGGGTGGGACGGGCATCAGCATCGGGCATGGCTACGGATACTCAAGTACAAAGCTGTGCACCTGCACCCTGTGTAATGTTACAAACCAGCGTTACTTCAGTTAAAAAAAAAAAAAAGCCTATGGGAATCTTCAGTCCCTTCCCACCAGCATCTGGAGAGGAATGAGGGGCCACTGCCCCCGGGTGGCAGGGAACTTCCCAGGCCCATAATCCCCTGGCTACAGATGGCGACACGCCCTGGCCCTTGAGGCTCGGTGTCTGCTGGCCCACTCAGCCAGTCAGTGGCCGCGAGCTCACACTTCTAAGCAAAGTTTCCTTTTCTTTAAAAGAATATTTTATTAGTATCGCAGACTATGTTTTTTTAGACTAAGAGCACCTCTGTATTCTCTGTTTCCTTGTTACTTAGATATTCCAAATCTACCAGTCTGTTGGTAGTATTTAAAAAAGGAGGTAGGAAGCGCAGCAGCAGAGTAAGATTGATTTCTTCGCATAGGGCCCTGCATCAAGTTCATGTTGAATTGAGATGCAAATTGTAGCTTGTTCAGGCTCTTTCCTAGTGTTTGGGAATATGCTACTTAGAGTGGTTTATGCAAAATGAATTGTTTTACGGTCTCTCAGTGTGGACAAATAAAAGCTGGTGTTTTACTCTGGCATGATAAGCGCCAAGAATATTTGGCATTAAGCATTTAAAGTATAGTTTTAATATTACTATTTGCTAGAAGACTAGAGAAGTATAAATTTGGAAAATGGGCCTTTATTAATGAATGAAAATTGAATCTTTTCACAAAGAGATGAAAATTGGGGCATATGAATGCTATTTCATGTGATCAGTGTCTTTCATTTTCTAAAGAAAAATATTATTGGAATAACCAAGTGTTTCAGGCTTATTTTAGGAATTCAGGTAACTGAGTGCTAGCGGGACTGTTTTCTGGGAGACTTTTAAATCCTCAGCTGCTGCTTTTTACTGTGCTGCATCTGTGAGGAAACATTCCCTCCGCTTGTTAAGTCCGCCTGCTCCCCAGCAGTGGGGTTGGTTGGTTACACTTCATAACTGCAGCTCAGAGCGCCAGGCTTCTCCAGCGATGCCCATGAATTCTGTTCTGCTTCTTTGAAGCAGGAAGCGCAGTCTCCTCCGATGTCGCCGCTGGCCTCCCCTCCCGCTTCCCCGCCTCATTACCAGAGGGTGCCCTTGAGCCATGGCTACAGCAAGCTGCGGAGCAGCGCGGAGCAGATGCATCCAGGTGAGAGGGCTTCTCAGGCTGGCCCGGAGACTGCGCCACCCAGCAGCAAGGCCAACCGCCGCTGTGTCTCTTGGATTCGTGACCTCTCTCTTTGGAAACCTGACTCGATTTAATGTTATACTCTCCAGTGAGGTTTTTTAACAAATAAATGTATCTTAGTTAGGCCGTGTCTCCTGTTCTACAAACTAGTCCATCTTTCGACTTGTCTATAGCTATTTAGATGATTTAATTCTTGATACATACATTTCGCTTTACAGGCATGTAAAGCATACGTGGCATGTTAAAGGTTTATATTTTTGGAATTGTCATTCCGTTCTAGTAACATACCAAACATATTTCTACGATAACTGCTTTTATGAAACTACTTAAAAATTACAACTATGTAAAAGCAAAAGATTTGGTTCAACCTTTAAAGACTGATCACATACTTGACAACATTTAGCTTTTGTGTTTGCCAATAAGAATAAGGGAATTGCTAGGGACAGTATTTTGAGAAATGTACAAAGTACCTAGTTGTGGGGTGCCTGCTTGCTCGTGTTTATGCCCTGCTGGCCATAGTCGTGGTGAAATATGTTGGTTCTGAGGATGACTTGCAGAGTTGGCTGCCCAGGCTGCAGTACTCACAGCGCCATACAGACACTGCAGCATCTGGGCCGCCAGGGGCTCAGACGCCTACTTTTAGATAGGACCAATTAAAGGTTTTTGGATCTGGATATCCATAACTCCCCATTTTAATTTTGTAGGCTGTGGCTGAAAATGACCCACTTTCTGTAGATTTTTGCTGCATTGAACAGAGTGGTGACTTCTAGAGAGACACAGAAATAAAAACGTGCTGGCTGGGCTGACGAGAGGCTGTAAGCTTGCAGAGCGGAGCAGTGGTGGTTTAATGGAAATAGCTTTTGGCTGGAATCAGAAGGTGTGGGTTTGTGTGATCAGCTCTGTGACCTTGGGCTAGCCATTTAACATCTGAATCATGATTTCCTCTCCTCTTTTAAAATGGAGTAATAGTCCCCTGTAAGGGTGTTGTGAGAATTAGCAAGAACATGAATATAAAATCTGTTTGGAAATTAAGTCCTATGCAGATGCAAGATAATGTTGTTAATGGATAGTTTAAAAAAAAAAAAAGCCACTCTCCTGCAACTTGAATGCCTCACTGATGTCTGAAATGAGACAGGTTGAGAATTCATTTTCCTCTAAGAGTTTCTACTGACTGCCCCATTTTAAGAAGTATTTCTGTTGTGGTGGTTATTATTCTTCCTAGTCTTAGTTGGCCTTGGAAGTTAGCGTACTAAGCCTAGCCCGGTGCCTGGTTTTGGTTTTGAATTCCCACTGAGTTTCGCCTGTCACCAAGTTCTACCCCATCATTTTTAAAAAATATTTATTTATGCATACAAGAGCTTGGGTAGAGGCCAGAGAGGCAGGGGGTGAGAGGCTTCACCAGAGACAGAGTGGGGAGCAGAACAGGCAGACGGACTGAAATACACTGCTGAGGGGAGCAGCGGGCGAGACAGGAGAGGTCTGCTGTGCCATGTGGGTTGCTCCCTGGCCAGCCGGGGATCGAACTCGTGCTGCAGAGGCTGCGGACAGCTTCATAGTGCGGTGCTTAACCCCTTGCGCCTCCAGGGAGGCCCCCTACCCCATCTCTTTGACAGTCCTTGAAAAACGTGTCAGTGCTTGCTGTCTGCTTCATGGCCCATTCCTTCCTCGTTCCATTCAAGGCGACCTTTCCCCCACCGGCAAGGAAACAGCCAGCTGATCTCCACCTTTCCTGCCTCTTCGCAACCTGTGTTACTGTTGCCCATGCTTTCGTTCTTTTACATCCTTTTTGAAAAAGTGAGGTAAAATGTACATATGATCAAATGTAGGTATTTAAAATCTTCAGTTTGAGTTTTGACAAATGGATACACCTGTGTAGCCCCCACTTTGATCAAGAATAGAGCTTTCCTGTCACCCCAGAGGTGCCCCTCACCAGCTGCTCCTTGCTTCTCAGTGCAAGCACTGTTCTGGTTTTTATTGCTACAGATTTGTTGTGCCTCTTCTAGAACTCTGTGTCAATGAAATCATGTAGAATGACTGGGCTCTTTATGTGTCTGCCATCTTTCTCAGCAGAGTGGTGGAGATTCATCCATATTGTGTGGCTCAGGAGTGTCTTTGTCAGTCTCAGTAGTGTTCCACTGCATGAATGTGGCCCAGTTTGATGATCCAGTCTCCTGTCGATAGACATTTGGGTTCTTTCCAGTGTTTGGCTGCTATGAATAAGGACACTATGCACGTTTGTGTATGAGTCTTTATGTGACGTGTGCGGTCATTTTCCTGGCACCTATGAGTGGAATTGCTGGATCTTAGGGTAGGTGTATAAGGAACTGCCAGAGAGTTTGACAAAGGTGGCTCTATACTCCTACTGGCAATGTTTGCGAGGTGCCTTGCTTCTTGCCAGCATGTGGCACGCTCAGTGCTTGCTTTGCTTTGGTGTCTTTAATATTTGCCATCCTAGTAGCTGTGCAGTGACATCTCCTTGTGGTTGTCACTCTTTTTTTCTTGAAACATTGTTTTCTAAGTTTCTGTTCCTTCTTCCTGGTTTCCCTCCTACATCATGAGCCTTCAATTTCACATGCTGCTCTTCCAGCAGGTTCTCCTTTGCACAGCATACTCAGAGAGAGGAGTCTGGGTGGATAGTCTGCTTTTCATGGAGTCCCGCTTTGTGCTGCTAACCATCAGCTAGACGGTTAAGTCTCTGTACCGTGGAATTTATTTCTCATAAATAAAATGTTTACAAATATTTTCACTGCCTAGACTTCGCCATCTCAGCAAAGGAAGGGAACGTTTTCCTATCTGCAACTTAAGTCCATCTCGTGATTTTTGCTTCTGATCAATCCTATTCACTTCAAGCCTTGTTTATTCATATTTTCATATTTGTGCATTTCCTCCGAGAAGATTTTCTTTGTCTGCCTGCTTTCCTTTTTTTAGGTCAAGAAGTAAGGGAAGGGCCTCCCCGGTGGCGCAGCAGTTGAGCGCTGGGTTGCGAAGCTGCCTGCAGCCCCTGTAGCGCCGGTTCGATCCCCGGCTGCTCCCCGGCCACTGGAAGAGGGTCCCACATGGCGCGCAGACCTCTCCTGCCGCCCGCTGCTCCCCTCAGCAGTGTACTTCGATCCTTCTGCCTGCTCTGTTCCCCGCTCTGGCTCTGGTGAATTCTCTCACCCTCCCGCGCTTCTGACTGTACCCAGTGCTCGTATAAATAAATAAATAAAGCTTTAAAAAAAAAAAAAGAATAAATACATTATTTAAAAAAAAAAAAAGAAGTAAGGGAAGGCCATGTCTTCATTCTCTCTAGGTTTTTAGAACTCAGTTTCTTTTAAGACTTCTATGTTTTCCCGTGTTTCTTAACTCTCCTCTCTTGCCATCATGGTGCCATCAACCCATCTGACAAACCCAGGATTCTTTTTTTGAATTCTATCTTTTTTTGATCTACATAGGTTTTTTAGCAAATCTTTTTTTTAAAAAAAGATTTATTTATTTATTTATACAAGAACTGTGGTACAGGCCAGAGATGGCGAGGGTTGAGAGGATCCACCAGAGACAGAGCGGGGAACAGAACAGGCAGATTGACCGAAGTACACTGCTGAGGGGAGCAGCGGGCGAGACAGGAGAGGTCTGTCACGCCATGTGGGATTCTTGCTGGCCGGCCAGGATCGAACCTGCGCCGCAGAGGCTGCAGACAGCTTCACAGCATGGTTCTCAACCGCCTGCACCACCAGGGGAGGCCCTTTTTAGCAAATCTTAAACCTGCTAAAACAAAGTGACTCAGTATCAGAGTTATTTTTAATTTATGCCTTTTCAGAAAGGAGTTTTACTGCTGGGATAGTTTTCCAGGGGTACATTTTTTTCTGGGATCATTTCCCTGTCCACGATTCTGCATGACTCCTGGCTGGTGGGGCATGTGTGAGTGTGTTTTCAGACGGATCCTCTTCAGACCAGTCTGATTAAGAGCCTCTCTTCAGCTCCCCTCCTGGGCAACTGCTATTCTCACCTTCTGGGTGTTACTGTAGCTCACATTCACTGGGGAAGACTTATGGGGCGGACACCATGTGGATGGCCTTGTGTGCATTATTCTGACCACAGCCCTCAGAGACAGATACTGCTGTCCCTATTAAAAACTGTTTACAGCGCAGTAACACAGGCATAGAGTGAAATCATGCATACATACTCACAGTAAAAGCAACAATTCTCCTTCCAACCCAACCTGTTTTTGCTTTCCAGACACAATTGCTTTCAACTTTTACCTAATGTCTTATCTCACAATCAGCCTGCTTGTTTTGCTTTTCATTATCACACTTATTCTGATGTAGCAGCTTGAGTTATCCACTCACTGGAAGGCATGGGCTGTGATGGCTGTTTTCTGGGCCTGAGAGTAGGCTTGGTGGGCCCGTGTTTCTTATTTCTGCCCATTTTGAGCCTGTGCAGATTTGGGCATTTCATTTGTCTGTGCTCCAAGCTCCCGTATTGTGAGATGGAATAATCTCTGAGTTAGAGGTCTGCGCGGGGGGTCCTGTGAGAGACCTTAGTATAAACGTACGTGCCTAGCGCAGGTCCTGCACATACTGTTATAGGACGGGGAGAGGGGCAGCCCAAACCCCACAAACCTGCCTATTTTACATGGGTTTTGCCATCCGCCGCATCAACACAAAACATAGGAGACTTTAATGGGAAGGAACTTTAATAAAACTAGGAAACAATACAGGTAAGGCAAAGAGTCTAGTTTCTAAATGAAGCATCCAGAGTTACCCATCCCCTCGTGGGTAAAAGTCCATCCAAATGGGATTGGCCCAGAACAAGGCCCCAAAGCCTGCCACAAGTCTAAAGCATCTTCCAGTGGGGACCCACAGAAAAGGGTCACAAACAACTGGACAAGCCCGGAAGGAAAAGAGCAAAATCAACATCAAGATAAAAGCTGCCATTGTCACCTCCCCACAGGTCTCACCCACATCTGTGTCACCCAGTCCACGACCAAAAGACAAGCGCAGTTTCTTTACATGTCTCTAGGCTCCATGCGCCTCCTCCAGGTCTCCTGGCTCCATTCTGCTTCCTTCCTCAGTCTCTTCTGCAGCTTCTCCTCCTGCTCAGCTCCACCCTTCCTTGGGTGGGGCAGGGAATGTGGAACCTCCCCCTTTCCTGGGGACCACCCTGTTACAATACTAGGCCATCAAATGCGACCTTGTACTTTCTTTTGTGTTTTTAGATTCTGGCACTTGTTTTATTTTTGTAGTTCTTAAGTATTCTTGAAAGTCACCTTCTGAGTGGCATTCATCGGGTTGACTGCACATGTTGTCTTTATTGTGCAGTTTTACTGGTCTTCGCTGTTCTAGTTGAATACTGAATGTCCAGAATGAAAAACCTTGAGGGCTTCTTTTATACTCCTGCCTTGGAGAAAGAAGGTACTTCTAGTTCCTTAAACTTCTTGTTAGGGGATCTAAAAGTGATTTTGCACCAACTTGCATGTTTTAGTTTTTATTTGCGAGGAAGGAAGTAGAGGCATTGGGTATCACCTGCCTTTGGACCTCCTGAGTTCAGATCCAGTTGAGGAGTGAGGCTGGAAGTCAGGCCATGGTCCTGACAGATCAGAGCACACACCCCTGGGCTGAGGCTCCCACCTCTCCAGTCACAGGCAACTGTGGCTCGCCAGGCTTCCCACAGGAGTAGGAAGAGAAAATCTGCCCCCGAGGCCAGGCCCCCTGTGCAGCTTAGTCTTCATCCAGGCCTTCCCGAGGAGATGGTCTGTCTTCCCAGGTAAGGGCCTTGTCGGTGCAGGACTGGAGCCGAAGGCCAGATGGCCTCCCCTCATACTCGTCCCTCCTGGGCAGCGGAAGCTCCTCCCTCCGAAGGGAAACAGAGGCATGTGGGGTGAGCTTCCCAAGGAAAGCTCACAAGGCTAGTATCCCAACCCTGGCAGGGTTTTCTGTCGTTAAAAGCTTCTGGCCTGAAGAGTAATTCGGTATTCTACTAACATGGCGGGATGTCAAACCTCCTTCTCTGGAGACCACACCTGTCTGCCAGCTGAGACCTTTTGTTTGAAGACTTGGATCACGTGCTTTCTGTGTGTCTCTTTTGCAGATTCTGAAACTCCATTTAATGGTTTGCCAGGCAATGATTTTGAGATTTTAATGTGTTATAATGTTGTGTTCCATTTTTCTTGAAGGAAGTGAAAAAAAGCAGAAGCGAGTCAAAGAGTGGTTTGTTGTCCTTGATGTGCTGTTGTTATCCCTTCTTTGTCTCAGAAAGGCCACGCTGCACTAGCGGTGGTGCCGTGACAGGCTGCTCTGCTTTTTCTAACCAAGTTTGTTTCTAAGGAAGCTACAGAAATCATTTTGCTTATTTATATACTTTCAAAACCTCGAACTGTTAACCCACAGAGATCAGAAGTGGTTTCAACGTGGGTGATAATTTGTCCTTTCTGTTGGGACTGAATACTACTTGGTTGTGTTGACTGTTTTCCTGCCATGTTGGCAAGGTCATTATTAAATGTTTTTGGAAATAATAGGAATGAAAAGATGCACTTGTTTTTGTGGCTAAAAAGCTTTTAAAAGGGGAGCAAAATTATTTTTAGTTTGGTTATTGAATAATAAAACAACATAAAATGCATTTTTGTATTTTTCTGGATCTTACATTCTTTCTGTTAAAGAGAGCAGGCAGGGGCCTCCCTGGTGGCTCAGGGAGTTAAGACACAACCTATAAAGCTATCCGCAGCCGCTGCAGCACGAGTTCGATCCCTGGCTGGCCAGGAGCAGCCATATGGCACAGCAGGCCTCTCGTGACTCGCCTGCTGCTCCCCTCAGCAGTGTATTTCTTCAGTCTGCCTGTTCTGTTCCCCACTCTGTCTCTGGTGAATCCTCTCACCCACCCCCATACCTCTGGCCTGTACCCCAGTTCTTGTATGCATAAATAAATCTTTAAAAAAAAATAAAGCAGGCAGTGCCATTTATTTTCCCCAATTAAACTATAATATTGATTCTCAGTGTCCAAAATGCATATTGGTTTTCTTTTGTGGGGGGTAGATGATGAATGGAAGACTTTTATGCAGGAGGGTATATAGAGAACTGCCTTATATTTAGAATTTGAACACTTACAACATGGCACATATTCCGTGGTGTGACATGGTTTATTTTCTATCCCAATTTAGGTTCTTACCATTCCACCCTTATCATTTATTCCTAATCTTAACCTGATCTATCCTCCTGCCTTATTATGTATTGGCTGAATGTCTTTGGATGGTTTACTGAAGTTGTACCCGGAGCTTGAAGTTGGTTTGTCCTAGATGACCCTTAGGAACATGCAGTCTAATTCCATTACTAATTCTTCCCGTCAGAGCAGACTCTGTATCAGTTCACGTGTGAAGTCATAATTGTGGGGGTAGAGTATTTATGTTCTGTGCTGACTTTTCCTCTTGCTGTTTCAGCTCCTTATGAAGCTAGACAGCCCCTTGTTCAGCCTGAGGGCCCCTCATCTGTGGGCCCAGGAACCAAGCCCCCTCGGCATCAGGCTTCCCTTCTCCGGGTAAGTGATTTGGGGTTATGCCAGTGGGAGAGTGGAGATAAGCTTGACTTAGGGATATAGCTTTTTAATGGGCTCTCTTGTTTAATGCAAGGAAGAGAAAAAACTGCCTTCAAATGCAAGTATTGTGTATCTCGTTATGTCACTTGTTTTTTTCCTGAATCTTTTTTTTTTTAAAGATCCATTTTTTATTTATACAATAGCTGGGGTACAGGCCAGAGGTGTGGGAGGGTGAGAGGATTCACCAGAGACAGAGTGGGGAGCAGACCATGCAGATTGACCAAAGTACACTGCTAAGGGGAGCAGCGGGCGAGTCAGGAGAGGTCTGCTGTGCCATATGGGTTACTCCCTGGCTGGCCGGGAATCGAACTCGTGCTGCAGTGGCTGCGGACAGCTTCATAGGTTGCATCTCAACCCTTGCGCCACCAGGGAGGTCCTGGAGAGCTGTTAATTTTACCAGGGGCAGCAACTACTGTTTCTTATATATGCTAGATATGAAAGAAATGTTAAGGCGGGAGCACAGGTGATATCTCAGTTACTCCTGGATGCACCACAGCCTAGAAAAGTTCCTTTCCCCAGTGTTTTCCTTTGGATAAAGAGCTCTTATTTTTTTTCTTGTCTGCAACTGTTGTCTTTTGTAGTATCTCTGTCTCCCATACTGAGGAAGTCATATTCTCAAAGGAGGGTCTGTGTGTGCATATGTGTCTGCATGACATGAGAAACTGTCTGACCCTGCAGATAAAAGGAAGTAGAGTGGTTTGTGTAACATTTCAGTTGTCCAACGTAGGAAGAAGGATCATTTATACGCAGGCAGTTCTACTAGAAATAGAAGGTGGTGCCAGACAGTCCCATAAAGAAGCAGGCTGGAAGTCTGGAGCAGAATAAACAAATCTAAGGCAGATTGTGGCGTTCACTGAATTCCTCTGGGAATGTGTGAGGCAAGGAACAGAACTCTGCTTTTCAAGGTGGTAGTCTGTGCACGAAACTTTCTTAAAGATAATAAGTTAGCCATAGGCTCCGTATCCGATGTTTTCTGCAATTGTGACAGTCTAGATACTGTTATATCTGTTAGTATATATGAATAAACTGTGGCTGAGAGAGGTCAAGTAGTGGGTCTGAGGTTTCATTCATAGCTATTAAGTGAAAGAGCCAGAATTTGAATGAGTATTAATTTATAATACTTTATAATACTTTGCTATATCTTAGAGTCCATGTTAAATAAGAAACTACAATGTGGTTTCTGCTACATTGGTATAGTAAAAAAAAGGTTCTTGAAAATTCCTTACTGGTACCATATTGAGGAGCCAAGATGCCATTCTCTCTTAGGTCTAGTAGAACTGAGATTTCCCCCCAAGTTGGAACAGATAGCTGTTTCTTCAGCTGAGCCCCAGATGTACTAGTTGGCTGCATTTAGGGGTCCTGTGGTACAAAAATATGTCTTTAAACGTGAGACTCACACCCGCTGCAGAGTAATGGTTACATTAGGAAGGTGTCGGCCAGACTGGGGCCGTCTGAAGAAGCTCTGGGCTGCGACAATGCTTGTCTCTGCAGTTTATTCAAGTGCTGTAGAGCCAGATCCTGAATGGCTAGAAGGGCCAGACAGACAGTGAACCATGGTGGGATGGGCTCCCTGGACCCCGCTTTCTTTGTACCCAGCCCCCGGATGGCATGCCTATGGGCTTTTGCTTGGATTGGCGTCCTGTGACTTCTCTCATGTACGTCTCTTTTTTTGCTGATGAACATGCTTCTGGGGCAGTTCCCTCAACTACTGTTTAGTAAACACCTACTGAATGTCAGGTGCTGTGTTGAGGGTACGAAAATGAGATCCAAGCTTCCTAGTCCCTGCCCTCACAGAACTCACAGGCTGTTGGAGGAGATAATCATTAATCCACCCATTGCAAAGTAAATATATAATTATGCTATGTGGTGTGAATAGAAATTGCACTGGGCTTTGAGGATGGAAAAGGATGTGTGTGTTGTGACCTAGCCTTGGCAAGCGGGGATGAGCAAGGAAGGCTTCTAGTGGGGATCAACATTTGCTTGTAATGAGAAGGATTCATAGGTGTTAGCCAGGTGATGGGGAGGGTTGTGGGGAGTAGGCAAGCAGAGGGCGGGAACAGCACCTACAAAGACCTGTTCTGTGTTTTTAGCCTTTACACACATCACCTTTTTTCATACTCATAGCTATCTTAGGAGGTGCTTTCTGTTCTCCCATTTTTCAGATGACAAAACCTGAGTTTTAAAGACCTTATTCAATTGGCCCAAGGTCACAGCGGGTAAGTGGTAGGATTGAAGTTCAAACACAGGTCGTGTTTCCTTAGTCTCTGGCTCAGGGACTGGATGGATCATGGTGCCATCTCCTAAGCTAGGAAGCCCTGGATGAAAAACTGACATGGTATTTGGGCAGGATCATGAGTTTAGTGGTGGATGTTGGGATATGAGCTTTTGAGATAACCAGGGGGAGTTGTCGAAGAGCTGGTAGGGAAAATGAGTCTGGAGCTTTGAGGAGAGCTGGGACTGGCAAGGGTGTTTATTTAGTAGCGGTTGGCCAATTAGAAGGCCTGAAGCTACACTGCAGAGAATACCAGATACCTTCTCACCCAGGTCCAACCAAACTCTGTGTGAACTCGGGCAAGTTCCTTCCTTTTTCCTGAAACATGAACGACTTGGAATGGATCTAACAGTCCTTGGTCATAATCGGCAACTGTCTGCTTCTCTTCATGTTGGTTGGCATCAGTGGAGGTTTCCCTCCTGTTTGAAGCGTTGCCTTCTGCTTAGGATGAGTGCAAGGAACCTTTCTCGGGATAGCAGTCTGTGGTTTTCATGGCTGATGTGTTTTTCTTTCTCAGTTCTTAGGTTTCCTTTTTATGCCTGTCTACTTGGTTTGGCTGGACTCCATGTCCCAGAAAGCAAAATGCCAACCTGCATTAGTCATGTAGATGAGGGTAGCTGGAGTGCAGGTTCCTGGTGAGAGGGGATTAATGTGGAGTGGGCACAGGCTAGGATGGGCGGGAGTACCTCATTCCCTTCCCTTTGCCATGTGGATGTGCTGATGGCTTCCTGCCTGCTTGGAGGAGATGTGGTCCCTAAGCACTGGAGGAGGCTTTTAAGGACTACAGGCCAAACTCTTACAGCTCATGGGCATGGCATTTTAGAGTTTCTGATGCCAGCTTCAGCACCAAAATGTTCGAATGAATTGTCTTTTTGCTTAATATTTGAGGAATTTCGATTGTTTTTTTTCAGATGTTGCATTTCTTCCCCCCCTGGAAATTTCCAGTACAGAGTGTAGCTTATGTTTGTGGGTGGTTGATGAAGGTTAGTAAAGAGAGAAGTCTTCTTTCCTGCTTCATCATATTATTATGTGTTTATAGGTCATTTTGTGGTTTCCTTTTCCCAAGTTATCCTAACCTTCCAGACAGTGTAGTTATTTGTAATTTTGCTGGCCTAGGACTTACGATTGCCCCTTCCTGCTCCCACTATCCTCACTGCCTCTGTTTATGCCTTTATTTATTTTTTTTTTTTTGCCAGAAACTACCCTGTGTTCAGTCCTTTTCTCACTGACCTTTTGGGAGCTTTTTAGCACTGACCACCTTCTCAAAATGATCTCTTCAGTTGGTGTGTATGATGCCGTCCTTTCCTGATTTCTTCCTGCTTCTGTGAATACCCCCTCCTAACCTGGTCCCATTCCCTTTCCTCCCACTTGCCCGTTAATGTTGATGATCCCTGGGCCTACTTCTCTTACTCTTTAGCCACGTAGAGGCTGATGACCCCCCATCTTCATCTGTCAGACAACTTCGCTTTCTTAACGTGTCTTTTCCACAACGCCAGTTTCACCCTTGCTTTCCCGGCTCCAGCCTCCCATCGGCACAGGCCGGAATGTGGTCATGGTCTGACTCTGCGCTCCCTGCAGGTGCCCACTAGGTTACCACATCCTGGCCCTTGCACTTCCTGAATACCTCTCTGAGCTACCCGTGCCTCTTTTTCAGGCCACTCTCTGTCACCAAACCTATTCTTTTTTTTTTTTTTTTAAATAATAAATTTTATTTTTATATTCCCCATACAATTGCAACCCCCCCATTCTGACCCCAATCCCTCCCCTCCCACCCCCCACCCCCAAAAAGTGTCTCTGGTTCATAGTTTTTTGTTGATTTTGATTTTCACTTTCTTATATTCATTTTCCTGGTCCCTTATTTAGGTTTTCTAGATTCCTGCTATGAGTGAGACCATCCGGTATTTTTCTTTTTCTTTCTGGCTTATTTCGCTGAGCATGATCCCTTCTAGCTCCATCCATGTTGCTGCAAATGGCATGTGTTTATCTTTTTTGAATGCTGAGTAATATTCCATGGTGTATATGGACCACATCTTCTTGATCCAGTCATCTATTTTTGGGCATTTGGGCTGTTTCCAAAGCTTAGCTATTGTAAATAGTGCTGCTATAAACATAGGGGTGCAGGTGCTCTTTGGAATGGATGTTTCTGTGTCCTTTGGGTAAATACCTAGGAGTGGAATTGCTGGATCCTATGGAAACTCTATGTTTAGTAGGTTCAGAAATCTCCACACAGCTCTCCATAGTGGATGGACCAGTTTGCACTCCCACCAGCAGTGCAGAAGAGTTCCTTTTTCTCCACACCCTCACCAACATTTGTTGTTGCTAGTTTTTTTAATATGTGCCATTCTCACTGGTGTGAGATGGTATCTCATGGTACTTTTGATTTGCATTTCCCTGATGACAAGTGACGTTGAACATTTTTTCATATGCCTGTTGGCCATTTGCATTTCCTCTTCAGAGACGTTTCTTTTTAGCTCTTCTGCCCATTTTTTGACAGGATTATTTTCTTTGTTGTTGTTGAGTCTCATCAGCTCTTTGCAGATTTTTGTGATCAGTCCTTTATCATTAGTGTTGGGTGCAAAAATGTTCTCCCAGTTGGTGTCACCAAACCTATTCTGTCCACTTCTCACTCTCCCCCGGCTTCTACTCCTGCCATCTTCAAATCCATTGTCCT